ATATTCCCACTCATTATATTCGTAAATTTTGAGGTTTATCCTTCGCTTTTAAGATCATTGAATTTGATTTTTATATAAATAGTATATATTAGAAAATAATATGAGTTTATGTGATATTATTTTTCAGAAGATTTCATTCTATATGCCTATGAAAAGTACTCTCAAAACTAACTTTTTCCTAATTATAATTAAATCTAGAATATTGTATTATGCTTAGTATTATTTCATTTTTCTCATTCAATTTAGAATTTACAAATGTCAAAAAATTGAGAGCTGTCACTTTTGATGAATTTCTGTTTATTACAATTTATTCATCATTAAATAAACAAAAAAATAATATTTGAGAGTTATTTCAAAAAAAACACATTGAATTTATTAATTTGTCTCAATTTCAGTATTATAAATTTTTATAATTTCAATATTTTGAAATACACTTTTTAATATTTCAATATTTATGATATTTCAATGTATTAAGTGGTCTCAAATTGAGCTTCTCAAATATAAGTTGGCCTATTCAAATAATAAAATTAAATAATATTTAAAATAATAAATAAAAGTGATTGAGGTCATAGCAAAACGGCTGTTTCAGTCATTAATTCTTAAAATAAAAAGGGTAAAAACTAAATAAAATGGTAAAATTCAATAGTGTCTGTGCTATCGTTCAATTTGAAGGTGTCTTTTGAAACCGCAAGACACATTGAATTTTTGAATAGTGTATTATGGTTTGACAGACACCAATGAAAAAAATAAAATGATATTTATTTTAAATATATAAGATCCTTATATAAAATATAAATATTTTATCGTTTTATTTTCTTGTTTTAGAAATGTTTTTTATTGAAAAATCAATAAAACTAACTCCAAAATAAAATTTTTGATTTAAAGACACTATGATGACACCAGGCAAATCTTCCAAGACACCTATCGTCGGGAATCTAACAACCCTACTTTTTTCTTAATCAATTTATTAACAAAATTTCTCGAAAATTAACATGAGAAATCCTTAACCATATGTCATTTCATACTCATATAGGTACTCCCTGCTTACATTATAAAACTCAAGGAATTCTGATAGAGATTCGATTTTGAGCTATCGTTGACCCACCTCTCAAAAAGGTAAAATTCATTTTAAGGTTATTTTGGTTGGACACCCTCTCAAAAAAGCTATTAAAATTAGAGACTAAATAAATAGCGAATTGATTCATATGGATTTATGTAATTGTGAACATTAAAAGAGTTTATTTATTGATCTAATAAAAAAAGATAAAATATTAATGAGAAAATTGAAAGAATAGAGTGTCCCATTCACTCGTGTTGGTCGCAATGTATCATTCTGGGAGACATTGCCTCTGCATGTCTCCCACAATGGCACAATGTTCCTTGGAGAAAGACCTGGAAGGGGGTCCTTTCTCAAGGTCAGGGCCCCCTTCTAGTCTTTCTGGTCCTGGAAGGAGCGCTTCTGACTGGTCTGTGCGCTGCTTCCAGGAAGATCAGGAGATTGCTCGAAGTTCGCGGCAAGTGCATTCCGACACCACAGATGTACTTGCCGCAACATATAATTGCGAGTGTCTGCTGCTTTGGTCAAAAGAAGCAGCAGACACTCGCAATGCGAACCGAATTGTCCCAGAAAGACCTGGAAGGGGGTCCTTTCTCAAGGTCAGGACCCCCTTCTAGTCTTTCTGGTCCTGGAAGGAGCGCTTCTGACTGGTCTGTGCGCTGCTTCCAGGAAGAACATGAGATTGCGCCAATAAGCTCCTATCAACAAATTTTGACTAAAAATATAAAGTATCCTTTTGTGATTTAACGAATAGCTCAATTTTAAAATAGATTTGATTCTAATAATAAATTGAATGAGTTTCGCTTACGTTTAGAATTTAATGATTTATATGATTTTTTCGTTCACAGAAGAGTCATTGATATCCAATATCAAAAAAAACAGCAAAGACACACCATAATAAATGATATTGAAGCTAAATATTACATATTTCAACATATCTAAAAAATTATTATAAGATTAGATCTCATGCAATGCCGAGCAGTTTCCTAAAGCATAATTACTTATTTATACAGAATCAATTATATAATATTCACATTGCAAATTATATACATTCTCACGAAGCAACATGAAATAGACTGTCCGAATTTGAATTCAAATAGAGATCTACTTCAAAAGGATTTCTTACAATATGTAATCTCGATGTTGATCACTGGAATACAAGGGATGCACGTAATTTACAAATTGTTGCAAAAATAGTAGTGCAACAAAAATTTTATTTTTAGCTTGTCACTTGATATATAACAATTGCAAAAACTCAATCAAAAATAGGATTTGAACAACTTTTTAAAATTGTGAGAAAAATTCTATCGGCACATTCTATTCAATTTTAAAGTATTTCTTTCATATTCCAATCGATTATTCAATATTTGCCAATCACAAATTTTAGTTCAAAATTCAAAAAATCCCTAATTTTAATTTCAGATGAAATCTCGCAAAAATAACATTGTTTTAAGGATACCCTTACGTGTCAGATTTTTTGCGCATACGAAGAAGTCATGCTAGACATGAGCTATAAACCTGAAATTTTAGCAACATATTTAAAACTTTTTAAACTACAATACACTTTAATATTCAAGAACAAAAATATTCTTTTTAGAAATTACATAATTATTTTATGTGAAATCTATATAAAAACATATTTTGCGAGCGTAACTTTTTTCTTTATAAGCACCTTATATGACTGATAAACTGTGAAGGCACATAATTGTTAATTCATAGAGTTGATATGTTTCCAAAATTGAGAGGAAATTTGAAAATTGAATACCCTTTCAATTCAATTTTCAAAAGATATCAGCTCCTTCAATAATTGAAGGACGATTTTGATCATTTGCTCTTAAAACAAGTATGCCATGGAGAAAAAAGTTACGCTCGCAAATCTGAAATATAACTATCATATAAAAAAATTAAATTTCTAATTTTTTACTCTATAGATATTATTGGCCACTTGTGTAATGCATAAAAGTTTATGTCATATGCATACATTTGGAAGTATGGGAGACGAGGGAAATTACTTCTATGAGGCACTAGGATTTTTAAAAATTTCTCTATCGGACTCACCATTCAATTTCTCGAAAATTAAAAAAAATCAATAATAGCTAAAATGTATTATGCATAACAAATTTTAATGTTACACGGTATTTTTTGAACTTCATGACATGAATTTTCTTTATATTATTTTTTTTTTTGGATTTTCTATGATTTATGCGATAGGCTGGAACAAAATTGTAAGTGCAATGATATCATTTATAGAGAAATCTAAAACTTCAGCATTCAGAACTCGCAACCAAAAAATATTCATTTGCTAAGTAAGTAAAGTTGATTAAGTTCGACACTTAGCTTTTATACGTAAAACCAAGTGTGTATTGTTATTTCTTGTTAAATTATTGAGAAAAAAATAAATTGTAAGAGAAACGATACTGATTATTGAAATAATATTGAGGGTAGCTGCAGATTTCTTCATTAACATGCCGGAAATTTGTTAATCTTGGTTTTCTATCATAAAATCTGTCGAAGAATCTAAAAACGGAGATATGAAATAGAGATCATGTAAATCTAGAGTATCCTGTCAGAAAAATAGACTAAGCATGTAACCCTTTTTTGGTCATAAACACTTTTTACCACTTAGTCATACAGATGATCATTAAATTTAAACGAGCACTTTTTGTCAGAATTTATTCTTTTACAAAGACAGAAGATTTTAGTATTATTTAATATTAGTGCTGTAGCAAAATTCAAAAAACGGTGAAAATTCAGTGAATTTGTGAATTCACATTTTTTTTCGACATTTTTCTTGATATATCCATGCACATTAAGAACACAGCTTTGATACGCTTAAAAAAGCATATTTCATATGAAATTGTTAAAGAAATAAACAATTTATATAAAAATTGCACTTATGGGCAGTTTAGATATATAATTTATATATAACATATATACAAATCCATAGACAAAGTGCAATAACTACAATATTGTAGAAAATTACAGCAGAAATACTGACTTTTTGAAGGATAATAAGAATTCTTCTAAATGTTGTTTTTATAATTTGATTGATTTTTTTTACTATTTCATTAATCTTTTATGAATAATAATTATTTTTAATATATGTGCTATTAAAATTTCAAATTTTGACTAATATATCTAAGTTATCTGAACGAAACATTTAGAAAATATCATACTTACATTGAAATAGCAAGTAGAGCATATTAATAGCAAGTTTCTTGGCTTTATATCTATCATCTATTGTTGTTTGATCAAACAAAATTCACTCTATTATATGGTGTCAATTAATTAAAACAATTTTTAATAGTTATTTATTTAGTGCGAATAAGTGCAAACTCATAAATGAATAACTTAATAGTAGAAATGAATTATCTGATATAAATCTCACATTTTGTCCATCAGAAATACTTTAATTGCATACGCATAACTATTAGTAATACGTCTGGAGTGTCAATTAATAACAATCCCACAACAAGTAAAATTCAGATTTTTATTAAACTTATTTTTTCCTAAAAGTTTTCTCAAATTACTATATATACATATGTGGATAAAATAATAGTAATATTGTAAAAAATTAGATAATTTTTTTTATTTGAGAACCTCTCAAAAGTTCATTCAATTTATCAATTGTTTCAGTTTGATGTATATTCATTTCTGGAGCCTAAAACTTTAGCAATCATGACAATATCATATTCTCTTTCTAACTACGCAATGTAAGGGTATCCTTAACCATATAAATATATATTTTATATATTGTATAGTGATTTTTTAATATTTTTATGAGTAAAATCGAGAGTGAGGAAGTGTGGACTACAAAAAACGATAGAAATGAATAGTTTACATGGGAATTCAATACTTACAAGTATTCAATGTCACTTTTGTGCTCGAGATTTTGACTCTAGTATACGATAATTATATTTGGTCGGCTATTTTCCTTATTTTTATGAGCGAAACTAAAGAATCAAATACCGAGAGCAAAGCTTTATTAAAAAACGATGAATTGGTGTCTAGTGATGAAGAATTAGAAAAAGAAGCAATTGCTCCTTCAGATAACGAAGAAATCTCAAATGAAGAAGAAGAGGAAGAAGATATTAAAGAAAAACCAACAATAAGAAACGTCTCACCATCCATAGCATCTAGAAAGGAAGAATCAGTATCTCCTAAACAAGAGAAAATAATCGAACCCCCAGAAAACACAAAAGAGAAAGAAAGCAAAGCACAAAAAACCGAAGGTGAGCAAAACAATTTGCCTCCTCCAGTTTCTCCTCGAACATCTACTCCTCCGATGGATCAACAAAATAATAGTCAATCTCATTCACCATCAGTAGTTACATCTCCTAGGCTATCACCACATGCATTAGTACCACATGATTCAGATAAAATTTATGACGATAATCAATTTTCAACCAAAAAACAAATGAACTGCGTTGTTATCTACTTTGGCATAGCATTTATAGCTTTAGGACTTCTTTTATTAGGCTTTGTTATCTTAAATAATAGCAAATCACCACTTGAAAAGAAGATCAGGAAAATTATGTCAATTCTTGACGATCCTTTCAACAAAAATCCCGTTTTTATAGTAGATGATGAAGAAGATGGAGAGGAAATTCTCAAGTTCTTCAAATCTTTACTTTATACTAAAGTTTCAGGAAAAGAAATCAGATTAATTTCACGGCCTCCAATATTTGCCAACAAAGCGATCATGTTTTGCCAACAATACCCAGGGTATGCTGTTACAATTCTGATTTGGGCTCTTTGCGCCTTTTATTACTTAACACTTTTATTTTTCAAAGCAAGAGCTCGTTATTACCTTCAGACTGCAATAGATATCATTAGTAGCCAGCCAAATCATCAAATTTACATTGAACAGTTAAGAGAAGTTTTGAAATCAAAAGGAATTTGCACTTTTGGAATGTGGGGATATCTTTGCCAATTGCTTGAATCATCCTCAACCATACAACGCAATTGTCTCCCATACTCTGAACCATTTTACAGCATTGTTCCATTTTCATCTTAATTTTATTTTTTTTTTCAACATCCATTAAATGTAATAAATTTTTGTTTTGTTATTTGCCTAAACATTCCGCCATTTAAACTATTCATAGGTTGTTTCTATTTATAATTCCTTTTGAATCATAATGGCATTTTCTAAACTCATTTTCATATGTTTCTCACTTGGCTCCGAAAAACTAAGAGAATTAGGATTCAAGGAAGAGTTCTTTCAATGAAATGGGAAATATTCTTCACAAATAATGGGAATTGACGAGCAAATTTTCTCTCTTTTTAAAAGAAGCTAAAGGCTATGGGGCGCTGTTTATATGTTAGTGTCACACAGCCTTACCTCACTACTAGAAAGCTGGGAAAATAAATGAAGTTTAGATAAACTTCCTAAAATTCAAGCAATCATCAGCAATTACCTATTTTGTAGTTTCCTATCTCAGTTATGTTTCGATTTAGTCGGTAAAAAATGGTATTGTCACTTTTTCAAAATATCGGCATTTTATATAAGTGAAGTGATGAAAAGATATATATGTTTTATTTAAGATGTAGAACAAAATTAAATAAATTTTACAATTTAAACGATACAAATTTGTTCTCAATTTTTGGCGGGGAATTTGAGAATCATTTGTTTTGATGAGTGCTGAAGAAGCTACCACCCAAACCAAGGAAGTCCAAAAGGAGGAGGCCGAGAAGCCAGTAGAGGCCAAGGAAACAAAGGATGAGGCTCCAAAGGAGGAAAAGAAGGAAGACAAGAAGACCGATAAGAAGAAGGAAAAGAAGGAGAAGTCTGAGAAGAAGGAGAAGAAGGAAAAGTCCGAGAAGAAGGAGAAGAAGGAAGACAAGAAGGAAAAGAAGGATAAGAAGGAGAAGAAGGACAAGAAGGAAGATAAGAAGAAGGACGAAAAGAAGGAGAAGAAGTCCGACAAGAAGAAGGAAGAGAAGAAGGAGGAGAAGAAGTCCGACAAGAAGAAGGAAGAAAAGAAGGAGAAGAAGGAGAAGTCCGAGAAGAAGGAAAAGAAGGAGACCAAGAAGTCCGAAAAGAAGACTGAAAAGAAGACCGAGAAGAAGTCTACAAAGACAAAGGAAGGAAAGAAGACTGAGAAGAAGGAGGCTAAGAAGGTTTCCAAGACTACTGAGAAGGCTGAGAAGAAGTCAAAGAAGCCCCTCATTGAGAAGGATTCTATCAAGGAGTTCATTGTTGAGGCGATCCTTACAAACGTCACAGAGGAAAAGAAGTGGGCATCAGAGTCCAAGATCAAAGAGTACGTCCTCAAGTATTACAATGGAAAGATCCCACAAGGCCTCATCAAGAACAACGTTAAGTCAGGCCTTGAGAAATTATTCAAGGAAGGACTCCTCAACAACAAGAAGAACTCATACCAACTCTCTGCCAAGGGTAAGAAGCAAATCGCCCCAGAAAGCGTTCCAAAGAGGAAGGAAGTTGCTCGCCCAACAAAGGCAGAACCAGCTGAAGAGAAGCCAGTCGTTATTCAAGAATACGTCAGCAGATCTGGCCGCGTCTCAAAGAAGGTTCAGCAGTAAGGGACTCAAAATTATTCAGTCGAACACAATCTATTTTAATGCAAAGTATCAACCAATCAAAGTTTCAACTAGTTAATTAATTTGGTATTTTATAAAATCTTTGTTTATATAATTTCAATCGTTTTTAAATTATACTCATAAGAGATAGTTCAACTTTGAATAAAGTTCATTATAAAATTCATAAAGACTATACTGTTGGTGATTTTATTCATTAAAGTAGTACTATCATTTATCAGCAAATATCTATATAAGGCATAGAAATATCTGCAATATTGAATCATAATGTATGCATCAACGACACAACCTAAGTTTAAGGGTGGCTTCCGACCAAATTGTTACTTTTTAGCCCAAGTGAGAAAATTTCGTAATTTATAACCAAGTTTTTAAAAATCTATATTTAATAAAGATTCTATTTTTCTTATTAAATTTCAAAAATGAGGGGGTTCGGAATCGTCCACAAATTGCCGAAAGGGTTTTTGCCAGTTTTGAATCCGCTTATTTTTATCGACCAAAATTATAATAAATATAATTTTCGATAAGTATTCTACCCAAATGATTCTTCAAAAAATTATTTTTCGGATTTTATTCCGTAAAAAAACGTTACAGAAAACGCCTAGAAAATTTCGAATTTTCCCTAAAAAATTCAGTGCAGGTCGATTTAAGAGATTTTTCAAAAATAATCATATCAGTAGATAGGGTATAATATAGAGAAGCTTTATGAATAACTTAAAATCCAGGAAACTCAATATTCAACGAGAAAAACGCTTAACGAATCTCACTTTTGGTGTAAACATCACAAAAAATTGAGAGGGCTTTCTGGTCGGAAGCCTCCCTTAATGGTATACAAACTAAATATCTGAATTTTATATAATAATTGAAAATTTATAATTGTAATTTGCCTCATTCAAGTGGATTTCATGATTTTTCCATTATGAAACTCATAGAATATGTATTTGTGCGATAATTTCCAATTTGTCGGCAACAATCAATTCTACAATCGATTTACATTATTATCACTATTAAAATGCTTAAGAACAATCTCATGCTGCTTTTTCAAGAGAATTTATGGCATATAAGAATGAGATATTTTCGTAATCCGCATTTTCTATGAAAAATACTTCCTTAAATCACTTGAATTACGTGATGTTTCTGTGAAATAGCTTTGAACTACCATGTTTTCTAAGAAAATAGAAAAATGTATTCAATATGAACTATGTAAAGAATTGCTTTGGAACTAATAACACTATTCATAGATAAGTCGAAGCATAGGATCATATAAAAATTATAAAAATTCGAAATTATATAATTTCAATTTTTTTTTTGTAAAAGTCTAATATCATATAAACATTTAAACAACAAGAAATTATTAAAAATAACAATGTTACTGGACAACTTCAAGACCAAGCGAAACCCATCCTTCGCGTTCATTGTGTGCACGAGCGAAAATCTCCAAATAGAGTCGGCCAGGGAACATTCTCTCAATAATATCATACAAAGATGGCGGTTTGTGGCTTTGTCTTGCACCTCTTTCGTCAATAATTAAATCGTTAAAAATGTCGACATCTTCTCCATCCAAAGGTTTTCCTTTTATGCCTACAAGACAAGTTTCTTTGTCATGTTGCAAGAAATAACCGTTTGAAGGACGATATCTTCCATATTTGGAGGTTTTTATCCAGTTAATGAAATCAATTACTTTGTATCCCCATCCTTGAAGCATTGATACACCGACTGGCAAGAAAGAAGCAACGACCCACATAAAACAATATCCATTTGTTTGAACTAAAGGGATTTTCATGGAAGCAATTTCACTTTCGAGCATGAGTTCATAGCCTAACTCAACGCCTCTCGTGGTTTGGGCTGGTTGGATGTTCCATGGAGGATCCATCAAAATTACATCAAATTGGCATATTTTGCCAAGAGTTTCCCAGTCAAAGTAACGGATATCGGCTTTTATAGGTGCAGCTTGCTTGATATGTTCACTGTATGGAGGGATTAGGACGAAATCTTTTGCATATTCTGGAAAATGTGGTAAATTTTGAATATCTTCTTCAACTATTTCAAGGGCTGTCTTAAGATCTTCCAAAGACATTCGTTCAAGGTCTTTGTAAGTAAATTGTATGGGAGAATCGTCGAGTTCGAAAAATTGTAATTTGTTTCTAGCGACAGGATCATAGGCTGGCAGGATCGTGTTCACTCCAGTTTCGCCTTCTTTCAAAATTTTATCCAAATTTAGTAAATTCGGTTTCAAATCCTTAAATCGAATAAAGCGGCATTTGTTTCCATCGGGACCGATACTTGCTTCTGGACTATTTGAAGAAATTCTATTAGCAAAGCATTGCCGTGAACTGATTACTTCTGTCTTGAGAGCTTTTCGAGTAGGACCTAATAATCTTTCTTTATAATGCTTTTTTTCACGCTCCATTCCATACTCATAGTAATCTTCATCATCATCGTCATCATCAGATGTATATTTGAGCTTTCTCCCACCGTTAATTTGGGATTTTGGTTTTGGTATATATTCTTCAGAATCGTCACTTTCTGAGTTAGATCCACTCGGTCCTAAGTATTCTTCATTAAACCAGCCATTCGGTTTCCGCTTTCCCCTACGTAAACTATCCATGACTGTAAAATATAATGGCACTTTTTATTTGGAAAAATTATATAATTGGAACCTACTGCTAATAAAAATTATTTCAGATTTATCTCATTTCAATTCGATTAAAATTTATGTCACCTTTTGTTTTGACAAAACGGAAATTTTTTTCCAAAAAAGCATGTTAAAACTGACAATAAGAACCTTCAAATGAGATCGAAACGCGCGAATATGATTTGATTTCAAAATTGATACTAACTCAAGCTGTTTACTAGCTACATTCAAAAAAAATTGTAAAAATCTTTGTTTAAATATTCTAGAATTAAAGGTACATTCACTAGATTTCCCAAGCTAAGAATAAAATTATTTATTTTTATCAAAATTGTTTTGAATTTTGTGAAATCTGATTTAGATTACTTGGAACCAATAGTTTTTAGGTATTTCCTTTCATTATGTGCTGCATTTGAGAACGAATGTTTCCTAAATTTATCATTTGCTTCTTTATCAGCTCTAACTTAGATAAGATATTTAACAACTTCATGATGATTTTTAGATGATGCAAGAATGAGTGGAGTATATCCATATTTATCCTTTGTATTTTTATTGCATTTGCATTCTATGAGTGATTTAACAGTTGCAACAGGAAGGACATACATATAATCCCAAAGTTCCTCTTCGCTAACTTTGAGATTATCCCTTGATTTCCTTTCACAGAAAGTTCATCAAGGAATTTTCTCAAGAATGATTGGTAATAGCTTCTTTAGCTTTCATTTTTTTATGAAGAATGAGGTATTTCTTTCTTCTTTTGATCAAAAACATCAATAATACCATCGAATATCAAGATTTTAGAATTGAAGTTACTTCTTCAACGCTTTGGATAGTAACATTTGCTTTTCGTGTATAGACATACAATTCCTTGGCATTGGTATTTGCAGAAAATTGTTTGAGAAAGAGTATCAATCAACTGCCAAACGTGAATATATATTTTTGGGATGATAAATAAATCAATCGCTTTTAGAAATCCGCCCTATTATGTTGATACCTTCATCTTCATCTTCGATATCTGTATTGAAAGCTTCATCAATTTCAGAATAGTCATTTAATACTTCTCCGAACAATTCAAATCTATTTAATGCAATGCAAGGAGGCAAACTCGGATAAGGGCTATCTTGAATTAATCTAACATATTTAGCACTATATTCTTTATCTAAACTGAAAGTTTTATCAGCACATTTCTGGATTGAGTTGTCTTTTTCTATATGATGAACTGTGATCCAATCTTTATAGTTATCTGAAATTTGCAAAGACCAAGAATATAAATAGCAATCGACACAATAACTATAATGTATACCACAACAACATCCTTCATAACAGCATCCGCTTCGAACTGTATATCCATTGAATTTAAATTTTTTAGATTTCATTGTTACAGCAATAAAAGGATGCTCCTTAAGCGTATACCCAACATCAGAACACCAGTCATACCTTTTTCCCCAAGGATAAGCTGCGTATTCTGGTTTAGTAAATTGTTTTGTACCATTTATCTTCTGTTTTGAAGATCCTGATGCATCAAAAAGGACTATCCTATCATTGTATACTCTTTTGAAGATACCAATTTCTTCATAACTATTTAATGTTAAAGAAGATAAAATCATATTCATTTTTTTTAAATGACGTTTAGAATTTTTTAAATATATAATTTAAATATCATAGTTATTAATAAAGTAAGAAACATTTTAGCCCAATGCTCAACTAGGAATTTGACCATTGATTTCACTTTTCTCAATGCTAAGAAGACAACAATTAACATCTAGAGAATATCATTGCACAATGATAAACATGAAAAGAAAGAGAATCATATTAAATTATGACAAATAGAAAATGAAAGAGAACAAAATCATTGTTAACTTTAATACCATGTTTAACTAGGAACTTGGCGATTTCTGTTGAATTCGATTTGTTTGCAATGCTATGAGGGAGTCCATTAATACTGAGAGAATCATATATTAAATAATGAAAAATATGAAAATTCAAAGAATAGATTTCCTTATAACATTTGCACCATGTACAACTAAGAGTTTGACAATTTTGAATGAATTCGCTTTGATTGCTATACTAAGAGGGCATTCATTAATATTGAGAGAATATAATAATAAAATGATAAGCATAAATGGATAGAAACCGCAACAAAACAATGATAAATATCAAAAGAATGAAAATCTGAAAAGAAAGAAAGTTTTATAAAACAATGAAAGATATCATAAGAAAGAAAGTTGGATAAAACAATGATACATATAATAAGGAAAAGGATTCTATAAAACAATGATAGATAAGATACGAAAGAACAGCATATAAAACAACTATAAATATTAAAAGAAAGAAAATCCCATAAAACAGTGATAAATATGATAAGAAAAAGGATTATATAAAACAAAGATAAATATGGAATGAAAAAGAATCACATAAAACAACGAAAAGTATGAAAAGAAAGAGAATTTCGTAAAACAGTGATAAATATGAAATGAACGAAAATCCAATATAATCAATATATACATGAAAAGAAAAAGTATTCCATAAAACAATGATAAATATTAAAAGATAGAGAATCATATGAAACAACGAATAATATTATAAGAAAGTGAATGAAATAAAATAATGATAGATATGAAAAGAAAGAGATCAGCACCATGATCAACTAAGAGTTTGGCAATTTCAAATGAATTCATTTTGATTGCCATACTAAGAGGACATTCATTAATATTGAGAGAATTTGAGAAAACAATGATTAACACGAATTACACAAAGAATTTCATCAAACTATGATGAATATGAAAAAAGGGAGAATTCTATAAAACAATGATATATATGAAAAGAAAGAGAATCCAATAAAACATTAATAAATGTTATAAGAATGAGAACTATATAAAACACTGTTAAATATGATAATAAAAATAATTTCATAAGGCAAAGATAAATATGAAACGTAAGAGAATTCTATAAAACAATAATAAATATGAAAATAAAGATAATATGTATCATGTTAAAAAAAAAAAAAAAAAAAAAAAAAAAAAAAGGTAGTGGGGCTTCCAGGCACTTCGTGCCTTCTAGCCCTGAGGATGATTGGTATAATGAAGTTTTTTTTTTCTTGGGGTGACCTTCCAGGCACTTCGTGCCTTCTAGCCCACATAAATGAAGTTTTTATTCGGAGGTCTTCCAGGAGCTTTTCACAAATTATATATGTTTTCATGTTTTGTCAAGACTTCTTCGTAAATGTTTTGTCAAGACTTCTTCGTAAATGTTTTGTCAAGACTTCTTCGTAAATGTTTTGTCAAGACTTCTTCGTAAATGTTTTGTCAAGACTTCTTCGTAAAATCAGACAAAAATAATGTTTAGGGTAGAAGGTTAGATATAACCTCTTTTCTAACCTCTTTTCTACCCTCTTGAATTTGTCAAGATTTCTTCGTAAATGTTTTGTCAAGACTTCTTCGTAAAATGTTTTGTCAAGACTTCTTCGTAAAATGTTTTGTCAAGACTTCTTCGTAATGAGTGTAAATGACCAAACTGACAACACTTTGACCGAGTAATTTTTTGTGCTGAACAAAAAGTGTCATATAAACATCTGTCAAAAGCCGCTTTTTAACTTCACTTAAAATGCCACGTAAGCTACGTAAGAATATACGTAAGAGGAAGAGAGCATTGAAACATCCAATAGTAAAACTGACACCACAACAACAGTTGCAACAACAAATGCTGAATGACCCCACTATGTTGCAACAAATGTCAAGCAATCCTATGCTTTTAAACCGAGTCATTGGTGCACAGAGTGGAGGTTTAAGAGCGGCACTTTTAGCGAAAATGGCAGGCTATGGTGGAGCTGCAGACGGAACAGCCTATAACCCTCAAAGTCAAATGAATTTGAGTTCACTCAAAAATCAAATAACAGATGTCAAAAAGTCAAACATAGACATACAGAAACAAATAAGTGAAAACGAAAAGAAACTAGAATATGACAGACACACAAAGAAACTCAATGAGTTAAACGTAGAGAAAAAGAAGAAAGAAGAACAACTGAAAGAACTAAGTACAGAGGAATATGCGAAAAAAGTGTCAGAAAAAGCAGCAGAAGTAGCAAAAATGGAACAAGATGTTATAAATTTGAAAAACCATACTACTCAATATAAAATACTGAAAGATGAAGAGATAAAACAAAAAGCCCTGAAGACATATATGGATAGCGATGAGTATAAAAAGGAAGTTGAAGCAAATGTAAAGGCAGAAAAACTTTTACAGTTGCAAAACCAAACCGTACAGTATGAAAACTTAGCACAAGAAAGTAAAAATAACGACGCGGCTATGCAAAAGGCAATGAAAAGCGCAGAATATATAAAAGCTAACAATGACTGGTTAGATGCCCAAGCCAACGCTAAAGCAGCCCAACTCATAGGGTCAATAAGGACAAAAATACAAGCGGATGAAGACAGTTCAAATGAAACTTTAACAAATGCTGACTTTAAGAACGCTTACGAAGCTCTTCATAGTAAGGTGAAACAAGTGAACGACTTCTCATCTGGAAAGAAACTGAAGTCTGAAGGTTTCGACAAAGAGTTAAAAGAAGTAGCACAAAATATGACGAAAATAACAGATGCAGCAACGAGACAGGCAGTTCAAAGTGCCTATGACGCCGTTAGAGCAGCTGTTGTGAAAAGTCAAGAAAAAGAGTTACAACAGACCAAAACAGACCTAGTAAATGCTTTCTTAAAAACGAAAAGTCAGGTAGGACATTATGCTGCAGATGGAACATATGTGCCAGCTGGTGGAACTTATATACCACCAAACCCTCCAAGAGAAGCACCTGCACCAGGACTACCTAAAACATTTACATCGTCACATGGACATAGACACAGGCATGCACCAAAACCAACACAACAACCAACAGTTCAAAATCCAACACAACAACCACCTCCACAACCAGCACAACAACCAACACAACAACCAGCACAGCAACCAACAGTTCAAAACCCTGCACAACAACAACCACAAACAGAGCAAGGACATAAAAGAAGTAGAGAACAAGGAAACCAAGAATTCTTAAAAATGCTTAAAGAAGAGTGTGGTTTCCCAGATAGTATTGACTTTAGTGACAGATATAAAGAAGCTATTGGAAAGTTCAAGGATGGAAATACTGACCCGAACCTATTTAGCTTTATGGCTCAGCACCAAAACGGATATAATCTCAAACCTGGAAAATACAAGCTCGCTAAGGGATATGATTTAATAGCATATCATCCAAATGACATGGATGAATTTACTCCGAGATATTTGATGTCAGAGCTAAATGACAATTCAACTTTCGTCATGAAACGCGTAAAAAATAGAGACGGAACGAAAGAACAAAAGCTTATGAATGCGGATGACGTAGATAGGGAAATTGTTAAAAATGGTCTCGGAATATATGAAATGCCAGCAGATGAGGTACAAGAAACTCCACAGGAAGAAGTTCAGATACAACCAGACATGGAAGAAATAGTTCAGCAACAACAGCTAGAAGAGCCTGAAGGAAACGAACAAGTCCCTCCTTTGGAAACTAACCTCACAGAACTAGATGAAGATTTGGAACAGCCGAAAAATCTTGACCCTCAACAAGAGTATGCGGAGAATATGGAATATTTCCAAGAGTCTAAAAAAAATTCAGCTGACATAGTAGAAGAATATCGAAAAATGTTTGCCGACATACAAAAGACTCCAACACCAGATGAAAATATTCAGCATAGAATGGAAGTACTGAAAGAAATGTACACAAATACAACAACCCTTTTTACTTACGAGCATTTAACGTTCAATCTTCGGATGAACTCGGTGAAAATAAAAGGTTAAATTTCAAGAAAACATATAGAAATGAAACATTGTTTAAAGTTCATTCAGAACCTAACCAGGATGGAAACAAACCTACTTTTGTTTCTGCAGACGATGGAACTACAATGAGATGGGGTCATAAAGCTAACCCGGATAGGTGGTTCATAAACTTACAACCTCAATTCCAAGAAATTGTAGACGCAATGGAAGTCAATGGTGAACCAGATATAGCTGGTATTTTAAGCGCGGCTTTAATGCCATTGAAAGATATGAAACATGCAGATATTTTGGACCAGTATGAAATGAACATGGCTGATGGAAATATAACACCTGACGTTCTAGAACATTTATCTCAAAGAACTACACAGAACCATAGAGATGGTATATTTGGTGAAGAGTTTAGAAAGAAAGTTAGGGAGAGCGAAGGAAGAGAACCTATTGTACATGACCTTGCAAATGAAAGTTTGCAAAATGTCATAAAAACTTACTTTGCATACGATGAACTGAGAAGGGATGAATATTTAAGAAAACTCAAATGGACAGTACCAAATGAAATGTTAGTATTGAAAAACATGTTCCTTGACAAAATAAAACCAACTACAGAAATAAACGACGCAAGACTGAAAGATTGGGTAAAAGCTTTCCCATTCACAAAAGATATAGTTGGTAACATGGAAAGAAAACCAGAATGGCTACAAAAACATATATTTGGAAACGAGCTTATTCCATATGGACAGGCACTGTTTGAAGAGCTTGAACCGGAAACTCAGGAAAGAGTCATGCAAACAATACGCGAAGACTCAAATACAGACTATGACAAACTCTTTCTAGGATATAGGTTACCTGAGATGGGCGACCAGAGCCAAAAGGCAAAAAGGACATGGGAAATTTGCAACATACTAGATGAACATAATGCAAAGATGCAACAACTTCAAGCAGAGGGCAATGAAGGAAAAAGAAGAGTTAAAAACTCAGTCAGGAAGAAAGTAAAGCTTGGTCCACGTGGGTTCTATTATGACATATAAATCCAACTATTCTATATTTTTACTCATATGAAATGTACGCCGCTCAGAATATAACGCCAACAGTTTTGGATGCTATGAATGGAAATGTTTCCGAATGGTATAACGAATGCGACAATGCCATTAGAAGGTCAGAAATAGTTCCTGGAACTTACGAATATACAACTGCTGTTTCTTATGGAAACGTAGGTGAGTTTGGAGAAGGTTCTTCAACAACAGTAGATATTGCTTGCGACAGGTTTCATATAATTTCTATTGACAACTCTTTCTTATACGTGGAACAAGACATTGAAATAAAACCTTCTGCCAAGTTGTCTGACAAGAAAGGTTGCAATGGAATTTTCTATGTCGGATACCAATATGCTCCAGAAGTTTTCATGGGATATAAGATATATTCTAACTCTGACTTAGTTCAAACAGTAACATGGGCAAACTATGAATGGTTCGCTTTGAGAAACTCAGTACAACCACAAGCTAGAGAACAAACAGACCAGTATGCAACTATTGAGAAAATAAGAAGACTTGACCCTAACGTTCCAGGAGTTTATGTTAACCTTTCTGGACAAACTGCAGCAGCAGTAACCAAAGTAAAACTGAAACTTAGAGTTCCTTTGTCATCTTTCCTCATCTTCAGGTTTTTAAGATACTTGCCAAACTGGGCAGGAAAAATTTCTATCGAACTTACTCCAAGCAAAAATAACTTAGTCATTGCACCAACACAAGACCCATTCACTCTTACAGAAGTAGTGGGAACAAATAAAATGTCATTCGCCGACTTTTGCAAAAACAAAGTTGACTTAGACTTTGGTTTCTCAAACCTCAACACTGAAGTAAACTATTATTTCAATGCTGCTGGAGATGCTTGGGACCCAGTTAAGTTCACATGCGAAAAATTTGAATGCAAGAGAATAGAAAGCAGACTTGCAGTCTATATGTTGGACCCAGATATTTCAAATGCTTTAGCTGCCAAATATATTGCAGTTCCACTTATGTTCCCTATACACCAAATATCTGTCAAAGACTTTGCAGGTGAAGTTGGAAACCAAAGTGCTGACCCAGGTGCAAGAACAGATATTGCCTTAACAACTGCAATGAAACATGCAGATACTATGTTTGTACTGTTCAGACGAACTATAAATGACTATTCTTGCTTCTACAACCCTGGTATTAAATATCATATAAACATAGATGGCAAATATTATCCAAGAGAAGAATATTCTACAGTTGAGGATATGAGGTCATACAACTTGACATTAGATGCTATGAACTTTAACAACAACTTCACAACAACCATTAACCCTGAAATGCAAAGTTCTATTATGCCATATGTGAAAGTATGGACTCATACAGGAGGTCAAAAAACTCAATATACAAATGGAGACCGTTCAAACTTTTGGCTTGGCATTCCATTTGCTGACTCAGAAGACTTTATGGGTGGTATTTCAACTGTTGGTACAGTTCAAATACAATATACTGGTGACAGAGACGGTCCAGATGAATTGAAAGCAAAGAAGTTTACAAAACCAATAGCACTTTTCACGGAAGATGCTCTTTTGAAGATTCGTTCGATGAAACCTGCTGGGGCTCCTCAGATTGGCATAACGACAGCTTCCATCGAGCAGATTTTGGCAGCAGGTCAGTAAGTTGTTCTTGAACTGACTTCTCTCCGTCAAATATTGACAGTACGCCAGTTTTGACATAAAATTGTATTATAAACTTACCTTTAGAAATATCGGTCAGTTTTGTTGTTATATTTTTGTCTGCTTCAAGAACTTTCACCATCTCGGTTATACCAACTTTCTTTGCTTTATGAAAATATTTTGGTTCAGCAAATATTGCTATTCTATAACATTTTCCATTGTTTGTGTAAAGAACTACTCTGTCAATGAACTTGTATTGTTTGTGTGTGTAAACTTTGTTTTGCTTCAATTCGAAGAGATACTCAAATACGTCCATCTTTTTATTCTAAGTAAAATGTCATTTCCGAAAAATAGAAGCGTAAGTGTTTCAAAAGGTTTAATGGCGGTGGCAGATGTGAAGTTAAATTCACCAACTCAAACAAACAGTCAAAGTGTTGTTGTCAATGTCAAAGAAAGAGATGTTGAAGTGGGGAAACCATACGAAGACCAAGATGGTATAACAATAGTTCCTGTAAAAGAACAACCAACATACCCTGAAGTTAGCAGAGACTTAAGTTCTGTTGCAGATATTCGAAATGACTACAAGCAACTTAAAGACAAACTTAAAACTCAGGAGAAGATTTGTCAAGCTTTAGGTATAATGTTAAACTTGGTCGAACACAACCCTGTAAAAGTGAACTCATATGTCATTGCACCTCATGAAGTTTTGAAAGAACTATTGAAACTTTTGACAGAGGCAGACGATATAAACATCAAAGAAATAGAACCCGACGTTAGTTGCTGTGGTGTTTCATATAATGTCATTGACAAGATATACGTTATGAAAGGAGGTGAAACGTTGAACTTAAAGTATAGTTTCCCAGACGTCATAAAAATATTTGACGACCACAACATTTCATTAAAATTTATTTGCTAAGTAAATGGCAGAAGACACAATGGTTTATACTATTACGACTAAAAACCCTGAGTCATATAATTCTATAACAACAAACTTACAAAGTCCTCAAGGACGATATTGTAAACTAACTTTAAACACAATGACGACTAAAGCCTGTTTTGCTCTTTTGACACCAGAAGATTTTATTGTTGTGAATGGTAAAAAATACTCCTTTGAAGATACTTACTCAGATATACCACCAACAGGTTTTGTTGACTTATTTAATACTTTAAGGACGGATGTAACATGTGCTGCAACTAGAGCAGGTTTCATTATGTTTGGATGTCCGACTGAGTTTAGTATAAACGATATGAGCTATAATACAAAACTTATATCTGGTTTTTACTACCAACAGTTTCCTATAACAGGAAAAGGTGTCATACAAGGAATGTCTATTCCATTGACATTAAGCACACCAATCTTTATATTGTTTCAAACTTAGGTTCAAAGTGTTATTCGAATGTCGACAGAAACTACTATGACCAAAAGATACTCATGCGTATAAACAATACTTTCTCTGCTGGTTTGCCTATTGTTCATTCGAATGCAGAGTTTTCAGCTTTAGTGAACTCAAACACTTTAGCAAACATAAACTTAACCTTAGTTGACGCAAACTTTGTTCCTGTAAAACTTTTATGTCCTATGTATTTGTCAATGACGGCAGAAAGTTTCGAATTGGAAGATGCAACTGGTGAAAGTATTGTATTACAAGAACAACTTCAACAACAAATAGCTCAAGAACAACAAATGCAACAAATGGAACAACAAAGTCAAGAATAAAAAAATAATATTTTTTTTATTTTTATAAAAATGTACAGAATAGACGTTTCAGATTTTTATGACTTCCAAGCCTTCAGAAATATGTGTCCATTTCGAGACTATAACAAAGCAGTCGAGAATTTGAAACGTTTAGTCATTTATGTCGACTCTGCCCCAGAATGTTATGTTATGAAAGAATGGGATGTTGTCTTTAACAAACCAAGAGCAACAATAGTTTCAGAACAAGAATGTAGACAGAAACTTAAGAAAATAAAAGTCGTACAAGTTGGCATGAAGATGTTAGATGCTTGGGATATCTTATTGTCAAAGTTAGAAGATTTTTCAGTTCGTGGTATAAAGTTCTATACACCTTCTCCAAACTTCTATTCTATCTTCACTGGATATAAATACGAACAAGTAGAATGGAAAGAAAATATTATAGAAGCTTGGTTAGACCATGTCAAAGAAATTATATGCAATGGAAACGAAAAGGTTTATGAGTATATCTTATGTTGGTTTGCAAACATCTTACAACATCCAAGTGCTAAAAATGAAACTGCTCTCATTATAATTGGAAAACAAGGAACTGGTAAGAACACTTTCTTTACAGATATTTTGTGCAAACTGTTAGAAGGTTATTCGAATCCGAATATGACAAACTTAGAAAACATCTGCGGTAAATTTAACTCTTCAATTGAGAATATGAAACTTATAGTTTGCAATGAACTTCAAAGTATAGATACAACAAAAGTTTTGAACTCAGATGCTTTGAAGAGTCTTATAACAGACAAAGTTGGAGTTGTTGAAAGAAAATATAAAGACCAAAGAGTTTGTGAAAATATTGCAAACTTCATTATGGTTTCAAACAATGTTGTTCCGATGAAGTTAGAAAGTTCTGACAGAAGATATGTAGTTGTCAGAACGTCAGATTCTCATATGCAAGATACAGAATATTTTGACGACTTAGCAGAAACTTTGACATCTGACTTTTACAACCACTTGTTCTCATACTTTATGACATTAGATATTTCTAAGTTCAATCCAAGACAAATTCCACATACCGAAGAAAGACAAACATTGTTAGAAGCAAACAAGAGTGTTTATGAACTGTTTATAGATGAGACTAACTTTGTGTCATTAGATGAAAGGTCATTGTACGATGAATATAAACAGTATTGTCAAGAGTATGGTTATATGGCAGCGTCTAAACGAACATTCTTGGCAAATGTCAAAAGTCTTTTAGACGTACAGAACGGCGTATATACAAAGAAAAATTTTTCTGAGTAAATTTTAAAAAAAATATTTTTTTATCCGATAAAAAAGATGACGAAATTCATCTCAGTAAATAAGTACATGACAGAAGTCAAAGATAAGTTAGCTCCATTCGCATATTTGAATGTTTACTTCTACAATTTTGAAAAGTCTACATTTGACAAAATTTGGAACATTGCACCAGTTAAGTTTGCTGTTGTTAGAAAAAGTGGTGCAACTTTTGAAGACTTATACATTGACGGTATGTTGACAGTCAAAGAAAATTTTGACAGAAAGTTCTCAAAACTCGAAGAAGGCAAAGCATACAAACTTGTTATACCTTATGAACCAAAGAAAGCAGACGACTATGAATATTATGAGTCTAAGATAGTTGAAGTTCAAGGTAAATTGGGTAA